TCATAGATACTTCCAAAACCAGCTTGCAGGTGCCGTTGAACCGTGCAGATGACGCAACCAAGCTCAAGGAGGAGCTCGATGAAGATCTTGTCCTTTGTGTTGTTTCGTTCTAGTTGGTCAGTAGTGGAGCCCAGTTAGGGTCGATCGGGGACCTTTGTCGCATTTGGGGTTCTTCTTTTATTTTGGTTCCGTAGTCGGACCTTGATTGTATTTGGATGATGTAATGCTTTATTCATGTATTGTGTGAAGTGGCGATTGTAAGCCAACTATGTATCGCTTTCCCTTATGTATTACATGGGTTGTGTGAAGATTACCTCACTTGCGACATTGCTTTCAATGCGGTTATGCTTCTAAGTCGTGCTTCGACACGTGGGAGATATAGCCGCATTGAGGGCGTTACACCCTAGAGGAAGTGCAAGATATGCAAAGTTTGGTGACACACATTACATTGGACAACAACCAAAACGCAAAAGATGTCTGGACTTACCCTTGGAGAGGAAGAGAATTTTCAGCCAGCAAATACTACAAATTCTGCTTTAGGGATATGAAGGCCCATAAAACTTACCACTGGCTATGGAAATCAAAGGTCACTGCTAAACTCAAGGTCTTTGGTTGGCTCATGCTGTCTGATAGATTGAACACTAGAAACATGTTGAAGAGAAGGCAATATAACATTGGTACTAACCTCAACTGCCTGCTATGTGGCCAAAAAGAAGAAGACATTGATCACATGATCCTCACATGCCCATTTAGTCAAAATTGTTGGTCAACCTTTGGGTTAGACCCTGGAGATCAAGCCACTCGGGCTATCCTGGCTAGAACAAGCTAAAATTAATTGGGGCAGGCCTTTGTTCATGGAGGTCATCCTTCAAGCATCCTGGAGCATTTGGAAAGAGAGGAACAACAAACTTTTCAGGGATATAAACCCCTCCTACCACTCTTGGCTGGCCAGATTCAGGGAGGATTTTAGTCTCCTTCAATATAGGGTTAAAGACAACAAGAAAGAGTTTATCTTCTTACTTTTAGATTCCCTACCCTCTGATTAATTGTACCCTATAGTCAGATTCTACCCCCACTACAAAAGGAGATGGGGTGAGACTTGTACATGATGTAACTACTCCTTGTAATTGTGTTATAATATATAATATATAAGATAGTGGGAGCCTCTCCCACTGTTCCAGTTCCTCAAAAAAACATTTAATCTTGTCTACTTCTTAAACGGGAGCAAACTAAATAAATGAATGTGGTGTTTCGTCAATATGCAACTCGTTGCATATTGAGCTCCACTTAATTTGTAGTGTTGTTTGTTGCATTTTGCCATGCGATGCCTCTTTAAACCGGACATGCATCATACTTGATTGTGCATCATGCCATGTTTATGTGATGGTTGTTTACCATGATGTTTCCTTCTTTCCGGTTGCGCTTCTCCTTGATAGTTCCGGTTACGTTGCGATTATGAGGATCCGTTCGACTACGTTGGTTCGTCTTCTTCATGGACTCGTTCTTCTTCCTAGCGGGATTTCAGACAAGATGACCGCCACCTTGGATCTCACTACTATCTTTGCTATGCTAGTTGTCCCGATGCTATCGTTATGTCGCGCTACCTATCACTTGTTTGTCAAGCCTCCCAAATTGCCATGTCAGCCTCTAACCTTTTCACCATCCCAGCAAACTGTTGTTTGGCTATGTTACCACTTTGCTCAGCCCCTCTTATAGTGTTGCTAGTTGCAGGTGCAGTTGCAGGTTGTTCCATGTTGGGACAAGGATTTCATGGATATTTTGGGATATCACAATATCTCTTATTTAATTAATGCATCTATACTTGGTAAAGGGTGGAAGGCTCGGCCTTATGCCTGGTGTTCTGTTCCACTCTTGCCGCCCTAGTTTCCGTCATACCGGTGTTATGTTCCTTGATTTTGCGTCCCTAACACGGTGAGGGGTATGGTACCCTCTTGACAGTTCGCTTTGAATAAAACTCTTCCAACAAGGCCCAACATTGGTTTTACCATTTGCCTAATAACAACTAAAACTTGCATAGGGACTTGCTGGCCCC